TTATTGTCGGTAACGTATATACATATATATATATATATATATATATATATACATATATATATATACATATATATATATGTATATATACGTACATGCGTACGCATTCTCGTGAGCGATCCTCCACAAACGAGCCGCTCTTCCCCGCGCGCGCGCGCGTCTGTATCTCTCGCGGTTATAACTCGCGCGAGAGAGGATCGGAGTAACGTAACGCGTTTTGACACGAGAACGCGTCCATCGACACACGGCGCGATGGACCAACGGATGATGGATACGCCTACTCTTGATATTTCGGTGATCAATAACGCGCCTCTCGGTGCCATTCGTGCCCGAAGGTGGGAACCATTATTCACCCGTGCAGTCGCCGGTGAATAAATAATTTACCTCGTCATACCAGCGCCATCAGACTTCGCGGCGGCGTCGGCGACGTTCTCTCGTTGCTTCTCTCTCACTTTCTTTCTTCCTCTCTCCCGACACTCTTTGTGTTACCGATAATATAAAGGTATGCGCGCGATTCGGTCTCTTCTCGGGTAGGTACATCATCGAAAACGATACGCATGTGGAGAGACGCGAAGCGAGACTTATCTCTCTCTTCTTCTATCCTTTCCGATGTTCGACGACTCGATGTGTGTCGAGAGGGCCTTCGAGGCTGCCGCGACTTTGAATGGCACGGTCGATTTATCTCCTTTACGCGAGACCATCAACGCGCATATCGGTATATACGACTCGTGTGCGTAAACGCGTGCGTCTGTGTGTAATACTCGCGCTCGTGCGTGAATGCGTCGTTTGGTTACTACACACACACACACACACACCTACACACGTAAAATAACGAAAAGCTGTCCGCGGTGTGGTCACTATTTGGGAGCATGATCGGTAGTTTCGATTCTCTTTCAGTTCGGGATCCGATACATTATTAACTCCGACGATAATTAGCGTCTAATTAACGATCGGCACGCGGTATGTATATATATATATATATATATATATATATATATACGCACGCTACTTTTAATTCCGTTCCGCCTCGAAATTTCTTCTTTTTTTTTTTCATGAAATGCACTTATCGTCGCTATGAATTCTCATGCGGTGTCAAACATACACGTGCAGTATCACGTTTCAATCAATTTTCTCGCGTACTCTACTTCGTGTCTTGTAATTCGTTCGATGTTTTCCGGAAAAAATTTGCAGCCATTTTTTAAATACACAATGTAATTTAATTTAACTTAGCAGTATATTTTATAATCGTACTCTGAAATTGAAGCGGTAGTCGTTAGCGTTTTACTTTCTTTAAATTTACTAAACTAGCACAACACAGGCGCGCGCTACGCGCACGCTATTGTTATTTTTATTTAACGTGTTGTCAGTGAACACAACCTGTCACCGCGATGACAGATAGTATATACGTCTTATAAACCATATATATATAATACACATATGAGAAATGTCAGAAATAATAACTATTTTTTGAGTTTGATTTTTATGCGTTATTTCTGACATTTGTCATATGTGTATTATATATATATATGGTTTATAAGACGTATATACCGTAATCACGTGACCGAAGTCAGTAACACCGCCGCGGTCGCGCGGCCGAGGTCAGTGACCCCGCCAAGGCCGCGCGGCCGAGGTCAGTGACCCCGCCAAGGCCGCGCGGCGGAGGTCAGTGACATTACTCTGTAGTATGTATATAATACATATAATATAATATAAAGTATAATATTATAAATATATAATAAATTATATGTATAATACGTATTATTTAATGTTATATATAATATAAATTACAGTCACGTTATTTTCACGTGTTGTTTTTCTACTCTTTCCTGTCACGTGACTTTAGTTACGTTTTTAATTTTCTCTACATATACGACGAACTGTCTCAAAAAATCGCTTTTCATTATTTACTCTCTTGATC